CCATGGCCAAAGTTAATCTTAAAAACTAAGACAGCATGCCTACCAAAAGTAAGAACAAATTAGCTCCTTCTCTTCATTGAAACTTTTGAGATGGCGATATGAATCCTTTCTCATTTACCTTAATGAGTGTAGGATACATTTACTAGATTACTAGTGGCCGGCCGCGATACGTCTGCGTTATCTTTAGTGCTTTGAGAACAATTTTCGGGGAAAAAAGTATCCAGGTCATAAACTATTTGCGTTCTAAATTTCATCCAAATTAGTTCAGTAACTTTTACATTTATAATAATAGTAGGATATTTGTATTTGAGAGACACTGATGTTTGTATTGTCTGTAAAAGTGGGTAGGCAACAACCCTAGGCAATGCAGAAACAGACTTTCCCATTATGTGTATGTACAGTATAGATCTATTACCTATTCAAACACATAAGATACTAATTAGACAAACAAACATTGCTACTACCACCTTCTACACCTATTTATCAATGTAGACTCTATCTCAATGCAATAATTGTCAAATTTGCATAATCCTTGTCTTTAGATATCCATTACAGCTTGAGTGTTAATTGATTTACCGCATTGGAGCCATAAATAGTTAGAAACTATTTTTGTTATGTAACACTGTGTTTGATTAGTATTACTTATTGACATCTGTTTAAATAAAATATAAAAAAAACTGATTTTAGGTAGGTATTTTATATATTTTTATTTTAAGCATTAAACTAATAGATTTTTTTAAAAACAAAAAAAATAGCTTGATCTTTGGTAGTTATTATTTATTGTATTTTTTTAGGATGACATGACATTAATTTTTATATACTCAAATTTCTTGCTTACCAGAATCTCTTTTGGAGACTATGAAATCATCTTCAGTTTAAATTATCTCAATTTTAGATTATCAAGATAAGGTTGATTGAATTTCTTCTATAATTATAATAGGACTACCTATTAGACTATGTCATCGATAGTTTAAAAACAACAAAATAGTTTTATTCTGTTTAACAGTATTTAGTAAGTTTGTTGGGAATCGAGCTGGTGGGGTACTTTGTTGTACTCGAAGAAACATCAGCAAACTACAGAGCTTCTTGAGGGAGACAAGATGACAGGTAAGGCTATTGCAAGCATGCAAAATACGCGTCAGATTGCGGTGATGACCCCAAGATACTTTCGTAGAGTTCGACTTGAGCAGACAAAGAAATTCAACTTTCTTATGATGAATTTGAAAAATTTTGTGCTACTATTTTTGTACCATTGTTGTACAAATTTACTTAATGTTATTAAACAGAATAAAACTATTTTGTTGTTTATAAACAGTGTATGAACTTGCATCCTACATTTAAAATTTCGTCACAGGACAGCAAGAGCAAATTTTGATAGCAAATTGGTCCGCTCACCTTTGTATTAATCTCTAATGACACCAGAACCACCTATGGGTTGAATTTCTTTATCTATATTTTATATACCTAGTTGTAACAATTTTAATTTTGTTGAAATACAATTACTAATTTCCCTCCATTTTTACAGATATCCAGTAAGTAATTTTAGAGATTTTAATACAACTGAATGATTAATGTTTAGATGTAATGTTGCCACATAAATTATAAATTGTGTGATTCTTAATTGGTATAAATAATAAAACAACATTATTAAATAAATAAATATTTCCAACACTCACACCAATTAGCCAAGCCCAAAGTAAGCACTGTAAGGCTTGTGTTATGGGATACTAGGGTAACGGATAGAATACATATACAGTACATATATAAGTATATTTATATACAAATACATATTAAACATCCATGACTGGAGTACAAATGCTCATATTCATCACACAAACATCTGCCCCCACCGGGATTCGAACCTGGAACCTCTCGAGTGACACCATGAAACCCGGCGTACAAGCCACTCGACCGCGGAGTACATCAAACCTCATACAGAACAAACAGTAATCATCTATTGAATGAGACTGTTATGATGTCTAGAGTAGTTATCATACTTTGGAAATATTTTAGAATGATGCATGCATGATTACTAGTGAATAACAGTTATGACAGATATTATTACATTTAATGACCTACCTCCTACCTACCTACCTCTAACCACTCTTATCACTATACCTCCCAATATGACAAATGAAAAATATTATGATATTTTTGGATATATGTTACATTTGAATAGCTTCCAAATGTAACATTAAAAGGTATGATCGGAGTAGAAATTAAGACAATTAGGAGTCAAAAGGTTTGATTTTTGCTTGCAAGTTTAATCTTATTCACAGAAAGGAGATATTACTGACTTTACCATGACTGACTGGAGTATAGACACCAATTGCTTTTACTCCAGCCAATCACACCTCTATGGCATGGTAATGCAATTTGCATCCTTGTCTTTTGTAAACACTTCACTAACTAGTTTAGGCACAGATTGTTGCGAAATGTGATTCTAGGTCTGATATTCTTACTAAATAATTAGCATAACAGAAGCGCTTGATACATACCCATGATATATTTATACAAAGTGTTTAATAAATATAAAAACTACTCACCTCCGGTGAATCAAACGGATACTTGTTTGTAAATTTAAATTGCAATACAAATTTTTCTCCCTCATATAATGTACCTGGTACTCCTTCCATATGTACTGTCCATCTGTTGACAAACAAAAAAAAAAAATATTTCAGTTCAAAATTAAATTTATAAATGTCCGGATTCTGATATCTCTTATCTGCTTTGTTCTATTTAAAAAGTTCATTCACCCATTCAGTAAAGTACAAGTATGTATTTTAAAACAATATTACTATTATTTACGTTGATAAGGGTTGGTGGTTACAAAAGAAAATAACATACCAATAATTTTTTAAAGATCCAACTGCATTCTGTTATGGAAAGTGCTGTGTATATTCTATTCATACAAGAGATGCACAGCATTTGGATAATTTACCATACAATGTGCAGAGTCTCTTCGATTCGTTGTTCATCCACTATTTGATAATCGTGTTACTTCAAATACATTTATTTTTTCTTTATTCACTTGATATTTTAAGAACAAGAAGGTACCTTAATTCAAACTTATTGGAACTAAATACTCACAATGTAAGATTTTGACTGGCCTGGTCTCCATCCACGGTGACTCCTGGCGGCGGTTCCCTCATCAGGGACATAAGTTCTTTTTGTAATCTCCTCTAAAATAATAAATTTTTAAGAATAAACCAACGAAAATCTGTCAATAAATATTATCGCATAAATATAATTTACTCATTATAGAAAAACATTTTTATAAATATTATGTGTAGAATTATATATTGAGTGAGTTAAATAGAAATAATGTTGATTGTAAGACGGAAATTTAAATTATTTTTAGTTACCTCAGACGGGGACATAGCCGCCATTGTAATCCAATTTAGTTCATGTTACCAGAATAAAATATTTGCTCCGTCAATCAAATCACCTGATATTTTCAAAAAGTTGTATTTCACAAATTTTTTTTGAAAATACTACACTTGTTATTTAATAATAAATGATAATAGAATAAAATGAATAGGATATAATTGATAAGTCAGAAAGATTAGTACTATTGTTAGTACATTAACTATAAAACGGTCTTTGTGAGAGATGTAGAACCAGAAGCCTGTAACCGTTGTGTAAAGATTAATATTAGTAGTACACAGGTAGCTAGCTATATTAAGAGATGTAACATTTGAGATTGTTAATGAAGGCTTTATTTTTTTATTTATTTGGGTCAAGACGCTCGAGTTCGATGAATCACTGAGCTAAATGATGTACTCGTATGTACTGGTATGAATTGAACGAGACTGAGCTGGATATATATTGAGTTATAACATGTGAGCTAGTCCTTTTAAACAACTCGCTGGTGTGAACTACTCATCTCTAGTGCAAATTGCACGAAATCGCGCAATTCAGACCGCAGCGTTTGACATGCGTAGTATAGTACTATAATCTCCTTCCAGGGATGTCGAAATTTGAAAAAAAAAACGATATATCGATAAACGATATTTAAAAAAAATATCAATATCGGCTTCGATATATCGCGAAAAAAACATCGTTATATCGGACCAATTTTCCTAAAAATATATTTAGGTCGGCCAAGCACAGTAATAATAGTTCAATACAAATTATAATTAAAGAAAGAATTATCAAAGTACAATATTAAGTATAATAAATTGCCGTTACACTACATGACAGTACAGTATTTCGTGAAATATGACACGCGGAATAATAATGGAACGAAAATTATCTCCCTAAAAATAGACCCTATTTTCGAATGATGAAAGTGATTGCAGGGCCTCTCAGGTGCCATCTTTCGTAAACAAGACTAGACAGTCACACACTTCCACAGAATTTAATGGAAATCAACACAACCAATTCACCAGCGAAACAGCTTTACAAATAATAGACAATGCTAAATACAGCACAGATCATAGATATGTTGAATATCATTAATCCGAGATCCAGTTACGATTTTTCCAGATACGAATTTAGTTAGATCGTGATACGCAATATTTAAAAATGTATCGTTATTCATAAGAATTTCGATATTGGTTATTTTCTATCGATGTATCGATATATCGAATCAAAATATATCGGCAAAAAATATCGATATATCGAACAAAAAGTATCGATGTATCGATACATCGATATATTTTCAACAAGCCTATCTCCTTCAGTCCTGTGCATATTAACGTTCTGTGGCGTGTAGTGCTTGTGGCGCGCCAGAAAGATCAGTTTCATACATTTACTATGGTTAGAAACGTGTCGCGTCGTCGCTCTATACTCTCTCTCTTTCTCTTACCCATAATAAATCTATGAAACCGGCGCGCCATGACACGATACAACACTATAATGTGAACAGATCTATATTTTTTCTTTTTATTCTGTGGCTGTTTCTAGTAGTTTGTGATGGCTGTATGGGCACAATACCCTTTGCCTCCCCAGAATGGGTAAAGAAAAAAAAAAGTAGTTTTTGACTTTGACATTGACATTTGTTGCAATTTTCGACTAATGTCTTTTTGCCTGCCGGATTTATCTTTTAAAATTTTAATAAAACCGTGTAATAAAAATATCACATAAATATTAGTGTCTTTATGAATGCTTCTGCATCTTTATTAATTTGAGATCAAAGTAAACGGAATGCTTATCAATTTAGAGACGTTTAAGGAATTCATTCAACCGCTATGTTTACTTGTACTTTAAAGATAATTGTTGTGATTCTGTAAAAACCATTTGATACTGAAATTTAAAAATGGGTTCTTATAGCAAGAAATCGTCGGCCGAATGGGTTATCGACCAGCTCAATGTAGAAAATGCTAAATTGGTAGCATTTGTGCTTGTGTTAGGTTTTATTGGATATCATGGTATTTTGCATCTTAGATATGGTAAGTTAACTTTTATTTATTAAATTTAGGTGATGTATCTTCTATGAAATAATTTAGCTGGCTTTATATATGATGTTGCAAGTTGTATAATAGTTTAAAAGTAACATGCTTAATCACTGTCCCGGTTTAAATGAAATTAGTAACATAACTAGCAAACCAGTGAACCAAATGTTCACCAAAACCTGATTTAAAAAAAAATGTATTTAATTAATTGAGAACTTCGGAGATTTTGTGTGGTTTCGTTTGAAATTCGTGATTTCTCGAAAACCGGAAGTGCTACGTTACTCAAATCCGGTTTGTAGTCTTATCAGACTATTCTTAACTTATAACTTAAATATTCTCTTTATCTATCTCTTACGGTTTGTCTGCTGAAACAGCACCACAGACGGACGGACGGACGGACTTGTCTAATAGATAAGAGATGCTAGATCTCTCAAACGGTGTTTATTTATCTGAAAGTCTTTATTAAGATAATCAACATATTGTTTTATAAAGAACTAGCAAACGCGGGTGACTTTGTCCAGTTTCAACTATAACTAATAACATATTTGCAGATTAAAAAGTATCCTACGTGTCAATTTAAGTGACTAATAAACTTAATTTAAGTGTAATTTCATCTATATTTGTTTAGTTGTTCTAGAATGAAAGAGTATGATTCCATAAAAAGAAATACATTTTTAATATTAGTAGGAAATAGGATAGCAGGTATAAGTTGCGGCACGAAACTCTAGCGCTGACTGTTATTGCGCAAAAATAAAAATTAAGATGTATTGGGGGGAAATAGAGGTGTGCGGGTGAGGTGGCTCACCAGTCATACCCATGCGCAGCTATCCCCACCACGTTTTGTTCAGCGCTTGAGTTATGTGCTGCAACCTGTAGGGATAGCACTGATAGTGTATATTTGTTATTATATCTTCTGCCTAGCTAGCCTCATCCAAATTTTTCCCTCTAACTTCACATTGACATCTTTTCATATCCTTCTCTTTTCTCTGGTGTTTATTTATATTCTCTGTTTATTGTAGGTCCAGATTCATGTACATGGCTGTTGTCTTCAGGGAGATATAAAGGTGATCATGAGTGGCAACCATATGGATGCATGTTGCACAGATATTCTAAAACGTAAGCTTTACTGAGTTTTTTACTAATAACCTTAATATTGTATTGTTATAGATATAAGGATGCTTGTTTACTCAGGAGAAGTTAGATGATCAATTGATATTTTTAAAGTTTCTTTTAGAATTGTCAATATCTAGTTTTTAAATAAAACAAGGTTTCAACAGTATAGATGCACTGAATTATTAATTAATGATGTTTCAGAAATTAAGATGTAATAATTACATATAAATAATTAATTCTGGATTATCAGAATCCATCTCTTATCATCATCATAATTCTGATGAGGCAGCCTGAAAAGGATGAGAAACGTCATTAATAAATAATTCAGTGCATCTATCTATACCATTGAAACCATGTTTTATTTAATGAGTGGTGTGCATGAAAATCTAAGAAACAAATATCTAGTTTTTAGATTAGAATAAACATTTTTAGCTAGAAAATTTATCTGGATTACTTTTGCTTATGTGTAACTTTAATAATACACCACAAAACTAAAAGGGTAGTATTGTAGTATAAGTGGTAAAGTTACCTCAGATTTCAGGACTAAAGATTTCTTAGTATTTGAATTTGTGTTTTTGAAAAGAATAGTTACAAGTTAGGAGTAATATCTAGGTGAATATGCATTCCTAATATCTAATTCTTATGTGAGTGTATAAGATCTGATATAATATTATTTGGTCTAATTTTCTGATTAGTGCCTTAAGTTTAGTTAGAAAAACTAATAGTTCTATACCAAAAACAAACAGACCCACACAGAGCTTCAGAACATTATGATTTCATAATGAATATACTAATAAATACCTATTGATATTTTTTACAAATAACTAATATGATATGTAAATAACAGTTTATATGTTTCCAATATTGCCAGCAACACAAATAACATGCAGTAACTTTGTATATGTTGTATGTAAATCAAGTAAATAAAATGGTGTGGTAATTTGGTAGTTCGGACCATTTTATCTTTGTCTCCTTGAAAATGTATTGAAAATTTATACAAATTATTATTAATAAATTTGTAGTGATGCCAGGAGATGTCTACGGTACTTAGCATTTTGGGGAAAATACAACAGCTTCGCATTCATAGGTGATTCCAGACTGGAACAGTTGTATGAGTATTTTATAGGTGAGTTCTCTTCTTCTGTTAATTTTTTAAATATTGTTAAACATATTCCGCCTTTAGTAATATAAGTTATTTACGGGATTGTTACCATGTACCAACAATATTAAATACCCTAGACACACCAACACGAACAAAATCGTGCCCGAAACCTGTCCAAAAGGTACATTGAACGATCCACAAAGCTTCGTAAGATGATCGCGTAGTCAAAATCAATATTAGGCATTATTTAAATATTGAAAGTAACCTTTAATACATACTGTATAAGGTCTTAAATAAAACGCATGCGTCAAGGACTTCTGACAGTTCGAAATGCAAGGTCGTAAAATTTTACGACTTATTGCTATATGCGGAAAAATTTAGACCTTAGTTCTTTGACTCTAATTTTGAACGCGCTGTTGGCAATATAGCAGGCACGGACCGCGAGGAACAGAGACGGCTATATATCGACGTTGAACCGACCATGCATTTAAATATCACAAATATTTTATATTCAATCAGTTTATAGTAAGTATTAGATCAAAATTTACTTCAAATGCGTTAAATTAACAAACATTGACTAGATACCTGTCGTAAAAACGACACTTTTCGTACTTTAAGTATTATTTTCGCATTTTTTCGCGGAGCTCTGTGGCATCTTGACTTTGTAACGGTCCGCGCGGGACTGTGAACCAAGAAGTGCTCGAGTGGAGTTCAAGCACTTCTTGATTGGGACACATTTTGAGCGCTCGTGGTGTGTCTAGGGTATTTAATATCCTTGCCATGTACCTTGTTTTTAGCGAGTTTTCGATACTTATTACTCCGTGATCATGGCGCTTGCAACAGTGTCGAAATATCGGAAACTCGCTAAAAACAAGGTACATGGTAACAATCACGTAAATAACTGATATAACTGTTATGTTAGTGAGCATGAAAGTTGAAAACAATATATTCAGCCTAGCCTGCCAGCTCATTATTATTTACTTTTTATTCATTCATAATTCATGAGTTATTTTAGTTAAAGTCTTAGATAAAAAACAAAGAGGGAAGATACGGTACGCTCATACTAGCATCAAATAAAATATGATCTGACTCAACTACGTAAGCAACTCTCACACACGCACACGTCTGTAAATAAACATTCAATCGCGCGAGCGAGACAGAAAAGTACGCTTCAACACAGAGCGAGCGAAATGGCGTATCAGCTTCCGAGTGCGTACGGCTGAGCTGTATTGTCGTCCTTTTCTTGATAACAAAATGGAGATTACTTAAATAACATTCACGACAAACCGTGATTTATTAGAAAAATAATGATTTTACAGTTTTACAAATGAAAAGTGTTGCCGAGGCATTTGTTATTTGATTTTGAACTATTTGTGTTCTTTATAAAAGCATTGAAGGCATTATTTTATCTTTATAAGACAGAATATACTCAATTTTTCTATTGAGTGTACATGTAGCTTGTTCGAATGTCCAATTGTGACTACAGCGAATTGTGATCGTGCACCACAATTTAAATGGATCACTTTTGAGCCGCGAGTGCCGGATCTTCCCTTTTTGTTTTAATCTAAGGTTAAAGTACATAAAATCGAGTTAAATCTATACAACTTTCGGTAATATTTCATTAATAAAACTTAGGGTTTGAAAAGAAAATACTGTGTGTTTCTAGTAATTAGTTAGTATGTGATCGAGGAGCTCGATTGCGCGGGTGCTTAGCGCGTTCGGCTGCGATAGTTGAAGTTAAGCAACTTTCGCAGGGGTCGGTCATTGGATGGGTGACCAAATATCTCTTATCTCGAGTTCCTCCGTGCTTCGGAAGGCACGTTAAGCCGTTGGTCCCGGCTGCATTTGCAGTCGTTAGCACCCGCCAATCGGCATTGGGCCCGCGTGGTGGGTCATGGCCCAATCTCCCTATTTCATCCATAGGGAAGGCCAGTGCTCCATCAGTGGGGACATTAATAGACTGATGATGATCATGATGAGTGAGGAAACAGATCTTTTCCTTAGGTGTATTAAAGACTCGGCTGGACATGGACACATCATACTCCACTGTCGATCACCACATGCCTAACTACACATACGAAGATCATAAGTTGAGGTTATCCGTTACATTCATATGGAGCGACGATGTTTCCAAGACCATGGTTGATCAATTCAGGAGTTGGTAAAGTTGCACGTTTTGATTTTGCCAGTTTATTTGCATTTGTTTTTTTATTGCTTACTAAAACAGATCATAATAATAAGCTCAATCAGATAACTATAATCGGACATTGTATAATAAGGTATATGATTATATGAATGAATTTTTGTTTATGTGTAATATATTATTGGATATATATAGGACTAGCTGACCCAGCGAACTTCGTACCGCCCTAAAAAAATAGGGGTTGTCCAGCGGACAAAATTGTGAATCTAAACCATTCTCAGATCCCCTTGAACACACACAAAAAATTTCATCAAAATCGGTCCAGTCGTTTAAGAGAAGTTCAGTGACATACACACTCACAGAAGAATTATATATATAAAGATATGTATTTTTGTATGTGTATGTATAATTATGTTTGTTTTAATTTTGTTTTTCGCATTGGTTGATGTTAACTCTCTTTTTTTTATTCTTTGCCGTTATATTCGCTCTGCACTTTCTTTCCGGTTGACTGGTAGAGAATGCCATATTGGCATTAAGTCTGCCATAAGGCAATAAAGATTAAATAAATAAATACATAAATAATAATCTTAATGATCCTTATGCTAAAATAAATAACATATAATTATACTATTAAACTTGAAAACTTTTATTAAATAGATGCTTAATTGTGTGAAAAGATAGTAATTTTAAATACAACTTTGTTGGCGATTGCAGTACCGTTAGCACGAACCAATATCGAATTCGTATCGTTTGCGAGTACGATATGACATTGTCAAATGTGTACTGATTTTTAGCTCTTGTTACGTATGTTATGGCGCTGCTGTTCAAGTTTTCATACAAAATTTGACAATAACATTTCGGACTCGCAAACTATTCGAATTCGATAATTGTTCGTGCTAAGGGTACTGCATATTATCTTCGTGTCACCTGTGTCGCTTATTGTGATTGCATTGGTTTTATATTCATACTTAAACAATTATAGTTGAGAGAAGATCTTCCACAATCACCAACTGATTATTATTAATATTACAGGCAACATTCAGATAAACCACCTTCAGTAATAGTAGCAACCACTGGCCTTCAACTTCTCAAAACTCGCAACACAACAGATATCGTGTTAGAGGAATACAAAAGGAACCTAACGCACTTGGTGCAAGCGATAGATTCGCTTGCGGCGCGCAACACGCAGGTGCTATGGAAGTTGATGGAAGCTGTAGATGTTACTAAGTTGAAGAATGAAAATAAGAAGATCAGCAATACTGATATTGACGCTTACAACAAAGCGGCCATTGAGGTGAGCCTGTATAAAATATGTCTATGTACATTTTACCTACTGACCTCCAAATACGACAGTCAAGAAGCTTAACAAACGCAAAAATTTGTAGATACTGACCCACAGTGCGGCCAAAATATGGAGCTCGGCTCGTCTAGTATGGGCCGGGGCGGGACACGATACTAGAACAGCTCTGAGGCACTGCGCTCAGCTTCTACTAAACATGTTCTGCAACGACCATATGAACTTCAACGATGGCACTTGTTGCGCCCAACCCGAGCCTTATACGCAACTCCAGTTGTTAACATTCGCGCTGTTTCTGCTTTGGTAAGTTTTATTTTTATAGATGGTAGATAGTTAATTATATAAGAGTAGATATATAACAGAGGTCTACTAAACATGTTCTGCAACGACCATATGAACTTCAACGATGGCACTGGTTGCGCTCAACCCGAGCCTTATACGCAACTCCAGTTGTTAACCTTCGCGCTGTTTCTGCTATGGTAAGTTTTATTTTCAAAGATGGTAGATAGTAAATTGTATAATAGTAGATATATAACAGAGTACTACTAAACATGTTCTACAACGACCATATGATCTTCAACGATGGCACTTGTTGCGCCCAACCCGAGCCTTCTTCGCGCTGTTTCTGCTTTGGTAAGTTTTATTTTTAAAGATGGTAGATAGCAAATTATACAATAGTGGATATATAACAGAGGTCAGTCATGAATTGCGCCCCGCTTCTAATAAACATGTTCTGCAATGACCATATGAACTTCAACGAAGACACTTGTTGCGCCCAACCCGAGCCTTAACTCCAGTTGTTAACTTTCGCGCTGTTTCTGCTTTGGTAAGTGTTATTTTTAAAGATGGTAGATAGTAAATTATACAATAGTGGATATATAACAGAGGTCACTCATGCATTGCGCCCAGCTTCTACTAAACATGTTCTGCAATGACCATATGAACTTCAATGATGGCACTTGTTGCGCCCAACCCGAGCCTTAACTCCAGTTGTTAACTTTCGCGCTGTTTCTGCTCTGGTATGTGTTATTTTTAAAGATGGTAGATGGTAAATTATATAAAAGTGTATAGTGTGGCTTACTGTGGCCACTATTCCTACACAAACATTTCTTCATTCGTCATTTCTTTGTCGTACTGCTCGTAAGTGGAATTCTTTGCATGTGCACGTGTTCCCTCCTTTCTATAATCTGGGGTCCTTTAATAGAGGCGTGAAGAAGCATTTTAGCTTAGCATATTTTATTGACTAATTGTAATAACTGTAGTTATTAGAATTATTTTATTGTTTTAAACTTTCATGGTCACTAACATTATAGCTATTAACGGGACTGTTACCATGTACCTTGTTTTTTATGAGTCTCCGACTCTTGCAACCGTGCCGAAATATCGGAGACTCATAAAAAACAAGGTACATGGTAACAATCCCGTTAATAGCTATAATAATTTGTCAATAAATTCATCAATGTAACTTTTATAGTATTTTTTTTTATTATAATATAGTTTACAGCTCGACAATATCGCGCATCAATTATTTACATAGAACACGTTCACACCACGCTATACTATATAGTGTGGGTGTTGTACGCGCTATACTTGCTATGTTCGGTTGCGATCGTTGAAATTAGGCAACTTTCGGTCGGTCATTGGATGGGTGACCAAAAATTTACTATCTCTGGCTCCTCCGTGCTTCGGAAGGCACATTAAGCCGTTGGTCCCGGCTGCATCTGCAGTCGTTAGCACCTACCAATCCGCACTGGACCCGCGTGGTGGGTCATGGCCCAATCTCCCTATCCCATCCATAGGGAAAGCCTGTGCCTCAGCAGTGGGGATATTAATAAGCTGGTGATGTGTGCGCTAAAATTAGTGTTCGGAATTGTAATTAGTTCTGTCGTAGTGAATAGGGGTGATGACGGGGTACAGTAAACGCAATTCTATTTAGTCCGTCAGTTAGATGATCAAAAAATAATGGACACGTATTTTTTTTCGGGCAATCAACCACAAAATGACAAAGTTATAGCGCGTCAAAGTTTGGGAGTAGGCGATCGTGACGTCACTTTTAAGTGAAAATTGTACAAAAAGTGACGTCATGCGACTTCGAATCAATATATCTCTGCAATATTTATATTATGTGAAAAAAGAAAAAATACGTGTCCAATACTTTTTGATAATCTACCTGATAAACGAAGAAAAAAAATTAGTCATCATCCCTATTAGCGGGCTGCGTTGTCGATATATGTCGCTTGACTGGCAATTATTTGACACGCATTGAAGAGGTTGTGGGAGACGACAAATTTGTATGATTAAGCTACTGCAGTTGAGCGTACTGAATTAAAAGTTCAAACGTTTTATTACTACCAAGGTTACCCGACGTTTCGACACGCAGGTGTGGGATAAGCAATATAGAAGAATAACAGGGGCGGGACCCGAAAGGAAGTAACCATACGATATCTTATCTTTCAATTGGTTCTATCAATATTTACACACAAGCGCTGAGTGTTAAAAATACTGTTATTATGACACAATAAACCAATGACGTAATTCACCACCAAACCTCTATTTACAAACAAATCTTTATATTTTTGTGTATGTATATGTGGTACTTATAGTCAAGCCTGGAAGCTCCCGCGCTCCAAGGTTCGACTAGTCAATCCTCAGGTCTAACTTAAAGTCTTACTCAAAGCTCAAACTTTTCGGCCTCTTACTAAAGAATGTTCGACAAACCTAGGAGAAACTAATTTGGTTAGGCAAACGTCGAAACTCAATTTAATGATATCGGGTTTGACCAGTCAAACTTCAATTAAGCATTAAAATGTCTTAGTTTAAATCTAAAGAAAATATAACTAGAAAAAACCGCAACTTCTAGATAATTTACAACTTTACTATTTTGTTTCCAAATATTACAGCTATCAAATGTCATTTATCGCATTCATGTTAACCAATTTTATCGGGAGGGTCAATATAGAAGTTCTGGCATTGTCCTTTGAATAAGTTCTATCTTCAACAGACCCCTCTTTCCCAGTGGGCACTTTGGGCAAGTGCTCAGGGCCCCGCGATCGATAGGGGCCCCCCTCAGATCAAATACAAAGTCCCTAGTTCCTGTTAAATCACCAAACGGTGGTCATAGGGGCCCCATTATAATAATATGCCTAGGGCCCCCAATAGGTCAAAGACGGAACTGATCTTCAATACGCTGCTTCAGCTTCACATTTAAAATCGTGTCCTACCTCTTTTGATGTGTGTAAAAAACCGACAGTCAAGCTGTCGTCTAGCATTTATCGTCACGCAGCTTCATAATTCTTTACGTGATACAACTAATTAAAATTTCGAACCCTAAAATTTTAGCGCATTAAGGCCCACTTGCAGCAATTTCGCTAAATTTTGATTTAACTAAAACTAGCTTAAACCTATAGAAAAATGACAAAACGTCAATGTCAATTTGAAATTTTTAAATTATCAGTTAAATTGAGATTTAAGAGAAAAATGCTGCAAGTAGACATTAGTACCAAAGCCCAAGCGTGGTACTATCGTGGAATTTTGCGCTCTGTCACTTGGCGAACAAAATGCTTTGAACGGTTTTCTACAGTAGTTTTTACTACGCCCCGCCTTCGCGTCGGACGCGCCAATCCGGGCCGCCGCACAAAAGTATGACAGAGAGCATTTCATTGATTGAATAATGAATTGAATTGCATTTGTTTTAGTTGCAATTTATCATCCGCATCGTGATCGCGACAGCGCTATAGAAAAAGTAAGACAGCGATAATTACATGTCTATGAATGGATTTTTACTACGCCGCTACCGCAAGCGATTATGGCATTATGGGTGACAGAGCGGGTCTTTCTGCGAGTGTACAATCATTGCCTCTGTGCCTTATTTTACTCCTGTTGTATGAGTGTTTATAATGAAATGTTTTGGCCGTAGCGCAGTCGTGTGTATAGTACGCCGCACTTGGCAATGGGCATCAAACCTTGGTCCAATAGTTGGGGGTTACACTTCACTCCACCAACCGAAACCACCCCCTTCACCCATCGCAGCGTTGGCCAAGCTCGGGACTATAATGGCATACTTCTACTTGTGCGATAGAACCAACTTCTTCATGAAGGAGAATAAGTACTATTCCGAGTGGAGCTTCTGGCTGCCGGTGGGTTATGTGTTCGCATTGGGACTGTTCTTCACGGATGACTCCAGGTCTAGCAAGTAAGTCAGTTTTTTTTTAATTTTTTTGGGAAAATTTACGTTTTATTTAAAGGCAAAGGTTACTCAAATTCATAGAGCAATACGGAAGGGAGTAGCCACAGCGGCATAATACTATTCAAACCTTTCTGTCATTTTTTGTGGGGGGAGGGGGATATGCACACAAACGCAGTTTAACGTACAAAACGTAATATAAAACAAAACTGTAACTACGACACTCACATATAATCAATGACACAGTACATCGCCAAATCCTGCACACATGTATCGTTTTTATGCCCAACTCGATAGAGGGGAAAGCTGTGTATGCCTGTTCCCCTCCTGGCCGCGTCGGCCGTGTTGAATTTAATAAAACGTGACGACGGCTTGCACCATTGCATTCACTCCTACAGTTTCTTGTCAATCATGCGAGAGTCGCTTCTTTCCTCTTCTATGGTTGAAAGAAAACTAGACTAGATTTACAGGGATAAACGGATAATAATAATAAGAATCCTTTTTAGAGTTAAGAAAATATTACTAGAAAAAAAAAACCACGCCGACTAGACAGCAGACGGGACTCACACCCGCACCCTTCGCCACCCGGGCGAATGCACTGACCATTATGCTACCGCTGCCCCGATGGCCGTGTCAAATTCCTTCTAGCCTTTCTTAAGCTGCAAGACAGCGCCATTTCTTCGCATTGTAGTTAACCTACAATGTCAAATGAATACCTTTACAAGTAGTAAACATTCGAAAGAAGAAATAGTAATAGGGTATTTGACAAGTTTTAGTAAACGATTTCACGTTATTGACTAATGTTTATGGAGTCTGTAAAAAGTGGATATTCGTCATTTTGTTGTGTATTTCAGTAAAAATAACCAAATCAAAAACTCCATTTTCAAGTTGCTGCGAAAACGTTTCTCTGGGCAATATGGTGTCTTACTAGTGTGTAACGTCACACGACTGTTATTAAAACGTCAAACGATACAGTGTAATGTCATTGTAACCGGAAGTTTCCTTGCGTGTGACGTCATTTTGGGCTCCGCCAATCCCAAGCGTTTTGAGTCACGTGACAATAGATAAGAAAACTATTATCTTTTTCATTAGTTTTTACTCTAGTAAAATTATGAATATTTTCTTGTAATAATAGTAAAAACCCCTGCCAATATTCATTCTAAACACAGATGCCAACCCTTTTATAGTTATATATTTTATGTTTTAAGCATGTAACTGCTTGATGTTTGAATGATAATTTGTGCCTTTTCAGAGTACTCCATCGCGACCAAACAGACGAATGGAAAGGCTGGATGCAATTAGTCATTCTAGTTTACCAAGTGACGGGCGCGAGTAAAGTGTTGCCCATATACATGCTAGTACGATCCCTGGTCTCCGCGTACCTGTTCCTCACCGGGTACGGCCACTTCCATTACGCGTGGAGTCGCGGGGACACGGGACTGGTGCGGTATTTCCGCGTCATGTTCCGACTCAACTGTCTGACGGTCGTTCTGTGCCTCACTATGAATCGCCCGTACCAGTTCTATAGTTTCATACCTCTGGTGTCCTTCTGGTATACGCTGGTGAGTATTTAGTTTATAATAAAAATACTAACATAGACTATAGTTAATACTCTTAATACCTGCTCCTTTATACAGCTCTCTACGGTGTTGTCCTTCCAAATACGCTGGTGAGTATTTTGGATATTATGTTAATATTAAAATAGGTATGAAAGTCTCACTGGGGTATCCAATGGCGAGTATACTAGTAAATGTTAATAATAGTGTATAAAGTTACTGGTCCACTGGAGGCATAGCTAAATCTCGATTTAACTAAAAGCAGATTTAGATTCACTTCAGCAATTTTGCCAAATTTAAATTTAGTTAAAACTAGATTTAACACATACAATAATTTCAAATTGACATTGACGCTTTGACATCTTCCTATGAGTTGAATCTAGTTTTAGTCAAATCGAGATTTAGCAATATTCTTGCAAGTAGAACTTAACTCGTACAAAAATGGCATAATATTAAATGTAGATTATAAAATTAATCATTTTTGAATGGGATAATTATACCGGTACTTCCATTACGCGTGGAGTCGCGGGGACACGGGGCTGGTGCGGTATTTCCGCGTCATGTTCCGACTCAACTGTCTGGCGGTCGTTCTGTGCCTCACTATGAACCGCCCGTACCAGTTCTATAGTTTCATACCTCTGGTGTCCTTCTGGTATACGCTGGTGAGTATTTAGTTTATAATAAAAATACTAACATAGACTATGGTTAATACGTGCTCCTTTCTGCAGCTCTCTACGGTGTTGTTCTTCCAAATACGCTGGAGAGTATTTTGGATATTATGTAAATATTAAAATAGGTATAATAGTCTCGATACTGTGAATAGCTCCTCCATTTTGTAGCTCCATACGCTGTTATCCCTGGGGTATCCAATGGTGAGCATTCTAGTAAATGTCAATAATAGTGTAAGCAATGCAAATTGACATTGTCGCTTTGACATCTTCCTATGAGTTTAATTTAGTTTTAGTGAAATCGAGATTTAGCAAAATTATTTAATAATTAATATTATTAATTCAACTATTAAATCTAGTCCTTAAAAATATTTCGTATTTTTGTTTTAGATGTTTGTGATATTCGCGCTCCCGCCTCATATATCGCCCGCGTCGTCGCACACTGTGGAATCTAAACCTTATCAGTATCTGTACATAGCGTTCAAAGTCATCGGGCTGCTGAGCATAGTGACCGTTTTGTACATCAGCGAAGTATTCTTCCAGAAGATTTTCGTCACTAGACCTTGGAAGGCTCTGTTTGTGAATTCTGATGATGACATACATCAGTGGTGGCTGCGCTGGAAGCAGGATAGGTGAGTGATATGTGTTTGATACGGGAAAACTTTGATTGTGCAACTTAAATTTAGATATTATATTGTTTTAAACTTTCATGGTCACTAACATTATAGTATTATAAGTTACTAGTGGCCCGCCCTCGCTTCGCTTCGGTGTAGAGCTGAAGTGTAGACTACAGTTTTTGTTCTCAGGCTTGTATTATACACAATGACATTCATCTATGATTCTTCTTATACCTGCATGCAAAGTCTCAGCCCGATGGGTTTAAAATTGACAAAGTTTCATAAAAACATTCATTCCCTATTTTATCCTCTTGGGGGTAGAATTGATCAAAATCCTTTCTTAGCGGATGCCTACGTCATAACATCTACCTGCATGCCAAATTTCAGCCCGATCCGTCCAGTGGTTTGGGCTGTGCGTTGATAGATCACTATGTCAGTCAGTCAGTCACCTTTGAGTTTTATATATATAGATTTACGGGATTGTTACCATGTACCTTGTTTTTAGTGAGTTTCCGATATTTCTGTTGCAAGCGCCATGATCACGGAGTAACTGAAGTAATTGCGGGTAGGCTGTTATTGGCAGACATATGGGTCTACCCTCCGACGAAGTCTTTTATTGCGTTCGATACCTGTACCACTGTTCACATTCTCACCATTCACTCGAAACTGTTCTCGACACACAACACTTACAGTATCGGATCGCGACACGACACTTTTTTGATTATTTCCGGTTTTACACATACTGTAATATTACAAAAATAAAAACTTTGAGAGAAATTTACTTTAAATGGATAGGTCGAAATTAATGAAAAAAAGAAGAATACTCGGGCGCCAGACCCATACCATATTATTAAACCATATTAGCCGGGAAAGCAAAGGACTATTAATCACAAGAGAAGGCTTGATTGCAAAACCATATTCATTTTGGGTTGTCGATTTATTTAAATTTACTACAAAACTACTTAAGTCCAAAAGGGTTACTGCTAAATTTAGAAACTACTTATTATACTATGGCTACTAAAATGTAAATGAAAATTTTACCTTATGGGTTCCGGTACAACAATGAATTTGGAAAGTTACCGAACTTGTTGCATCTGTGTAGTGGCTGTGTCTGGTGTCAATTGTAATATTAAATGGATGTCGCTGTTACATCACGGGACTGTTCACTTTCTCATCATGGGAAATGTTGAAAGTTGATTATAAAATCCAAATAAAAAAAAAAACGCTTTTCGCTGAAAATAAATATTCCTCAGATTAGCACATGGCTCACAACAAAGGAAAAAAAAGTAAAACTAAGGAAAACTCTAAGATTCTTACCGTTTTTTAAACAAATTAAGCTTGGAATAAGATCGGCTCCATTCCGCGCAAACAGTGTGAAATATTACGTCTGTAAAAAAATCCATCCTTATGTAAATCATTGAAATATGTGAATCAAAACACTTTTCGAATTTGGAAAAACATTTACCATTAAAAAATAATGGACAATCTAAGGAATTATCATGATAAAAATTACGATTTAGATTTTCACATGTTCCTCGTAAAAATTTTGGTCGTGAAGTGAAGTGACAGTTCTTTTCTTAGTTTGTCTTGGCGGTAGGCAAAGAGAACAATGTCCATTCAGCCTACTGCTCGATAAAGGCAGAAACACACTTACCCAAAAGTGCACAGATTAAAGAAAATGGGCGCGAGATAAAAAACGACCAGAGAGACAACCAAAAAAAAATCTTCTATCTCGCTCTTCGAGCGAAGGAGATCCATGTGACGTTTTTAACACGTTACATTTCACCCTTCCCCGAATAAAGCATCGAGAATCGAGGCTGAAAAAACTACAGCTAAAGTCCAAATACTAAAAGCCAAAACGAAATCCGTTGAATTATGGATGAAAACGAAAACCCAAAGTGAAAAGAAAATAACTTCAAATAAAGTTATCCAAATACCAAAACATCATCTAACTATAGAGTCCTCGGACAAAAAGTCACAAGTCTCAAAACAAAAGCTGTTAAACTGAATTAGTCACAGACCCAAAATTATTAAAAACCTAAAGCAAAATGCTCTAAAATAAAAGTATGCAAAGCTTACTACAAAAAATTCAACCACTATCATCATCATTATTGAGATCTGTCAGACATAAAAAGTCGCAGACTCTAAAAAATCTCTAAATTCAAACTACTCTAACTAAACCCTGGTGAGATCTGTTGGACATCTAAGTCGCAGACTCTAAAATTTCCTAAACTAAAACTCCTTCAAAACCTAAACCCCTGTGAGATCTGTTGGATATTAAAATCGCAGACTCCTAAAATTTCTTAAACTACTACTCTACTACTCTTAACATTAATTTCTGAAGGTCTGTTGGACATCTAGGTCACAGACAGAAAACTACAATCTACTCCTACTACCAACTCTTGGGAGATCTGTTAGACAACTATGTCGCAGACTCTGAAAAATCCTACCCCAGTACTGCTATACTAAAAAGTCGCAAGTACTATTACTTAAATCCCCAAAAAGTTCGAGATGAGTGGCAAAATTGACACAAACTCATTTAAGTCACAATCATGGTCGGCACAACACCACCGGCTTCCCGAACAAGATGTGCAAAAGGCGTCGAGAACAAACAGTTCGACAAAAAAAATGTAGTGACGAAAGTCAAAACAGCAAAAAATTTGGCGAAAACCAAAACGTGACATTCATGGCCGACTCAACACCAACGACTTTCCGGACATGAAGCACCCAAAACAAAAGTTGTAACTACATGATCGGCATAACTCCACCGAACTCCCGAGCATGAAGCACAAAAACAAACAATTGATGTCCATAAATATGGGCAAACAAAATACCAAAACAATATGGCAAAACCAAAAAAGCGTCAACAATGTTGAACAAAAAGTCGAAATTGCAACTTCATGATCGGCACAACACCACCGAACTTCCGAACATGATGTGCGAAAACAAATAATTGATGTCCACAAATATGGGCAAACAAATTACCAAAACAAAGTGGTAAACCAAACAAATCGTCAAAAATATTGAACGAAGAAAGTCAAAATCATGGATGTCGAATCCAAGGAAAAAGGGGAGCTCCAAAATGTCAAATCCGGGTGTAACAATTATCACACACACAAACTTCTATACAAAACAAATTGTTATAAAACAACAAACATGCAGAAACACCACACAACTATAGTACTAACAAATAAGTTTGTACAAAAATAACAAATAAGGACATATAAAATCCTAATAAAAAATGTGTCCATACAGATAAAACATCTGCATGAAACAAAAGGTTATAAAATCTTATGATGCAGAAAATAAGTAGGCATACTACGTAAATTTAAATTTTACAAAAAATTTCAAAGTCAAATAATATAATGGCAAAACTTGAATTTAATAAAAACCAAAAAGTGAATGAGTAAAGTCAAATGTAATTGAGTAACCCCACTATCATTCCATCATCTTACAAGCGGAAAGCCTAGCATACTTCACACAGTCAAATAAACTTTCAAATCCGCAAAATCACTCATGTTACAAAATCCTAAAACCCAAAGGTTTGTTTATGTAACAAAACTAACCAAACAATACCTAAGCAATCTAAATTTTCAAAATGTCTTTAACATGGTAACGACCAGAAGTACCTTTAACCAAATCTTTTAAAACATAAACATTATTAGAAATATTATCAATAATCTTACATTTAATAAACTTCGGAGCTAGTTTTGCCGAAAAATAATGAGCAGCACTAGATTGAACAAAATTCCTTCTCCAAACAATATCACCTACATCATAAGAAGTGACTTCACGACGCTTGTTATAATAAGAAGCATTACGTTTATATGCTTTAAATAAAGTTCCAGTAACTTTAACAAAAATACTTTCGAGTGAAGAAAGTGAATGAGCAAAAGCAGAACGGTCAACAAGATCGATCTGTGTTAAATTATCAAAGGAATTACTAAAACGGTGCAATGACGCATCAACAATTAACTCCCTACCAAACATTAGGAAATTCGGAGTAAACTCCGTAGCCAAATTAACACTACTATTCAAAGCTAACTGAACATGTGGAAGAAATTTCGACCAAGTTCTATGATCATCACGAACGAAGCAAGAAATGCAAGTTTCAACCGTCTTATTATAACGCTCCACTGGATTATTCTGAGGCGTATATAAAGTATTATAAAATATTCTATCAATATTAAAACCTTTAAGAAAATCTACAAAATTTCTAGAAGTGAACTGAGTACCGTTATCACATACAACTATTTTTGGACATCCGAACTTAAGGAAGATATCTTTTTCTAAGAACTTACACATTGATCTAGTTGTTGCATTAGCCAAAGGAAATAACCAACAATATTTTGTAAAAACATCTACTACAGATAATATAAATTTATGACCAGAATAAGTTTTGGGTAAAATTCCAATTAAATCCATACTTAACATTACCATAGGTCTATCTACTTTTTTGGGATTAATCATAGTTCCAAGTGGTTTAGAAGTCGAATGCTTATAAGCTTTACAAATATCGCAACTATTAATATATTTATGAACATCATTAAACATACCTTTCCAAAAGTAATGTAGTTTTATTTTATGCAAAGTTTTATGAATTCCTAAATGACTCGAATTTAAATCATCATGATTATTCTAATAAAATCTAAAATATGTTCTTTTGGAACAACAATTTTCCAATCTAAATTATTATTAATGCTATATTTTGATTTACAAAATCTATACAAAGTATCATTTTCTACTCTAAAATTTTTATATCTAGAAGGGAATTTTTGACAATTGACAAAAATCTTTCTATACCAAGGATCTACGATGTCATCGTTAGGCGAAACAATTTGATTTGAATTTACTGTCAACGCAGCTATATCATAACGAGAAAGAGTATCAGGAACTACATGCAAAGAACCTTTTTTATGAATTATATCAAATGTAAATTGTGAAATTCTAGCAGCCCATCTAGCCAAGCGACCAGAAGGATTATTTAAATTTAAAAGCCATTTTAAACTAGCATG